TCATATTTATCATCCATGTTATATGTCATGCAAACAATATGTTGGGTCCCATTTTTCTGTTAGGCTTTTTAGTCTAATATATAAGGAATATTTATGTTTATTATTATAAAATTTCTGTCTTGTCTGGTCCCACACCATTTAGTCCCAAATAAACATACTGAGGCTATATTAATTATAAATGGTTTGGCTGATGGTTCAAACTTCTTATTGGCTATCTCTTAATTATTAACCCATTTCTATTAGTCTGTGTGTCTCCACATGGTCTTGACATACCAGCGAAGCCTGGACCTCTTACTCCCTTGGGGGCTACATGGCATCTCTCTGGTGACTCACTCTCTGCACTCCTCTTTCTAGAATTCTCCTAGTCTGGTAGCCCCACCCATACTTCCTGCCTGGCTATATCCTACCTGTCCATTGGCCGAAAAAGCTTTATTCATCAACCAATAAGAGAAACATATTCACAGCATAAGAAGGATGTTCCCTATCAATCAATAAAACCCATGTAGCCTATTGTTCAGGCTTATTACTAACAAACTCTTACAACTTAACCCTTAGTTCTTATCTATGTTCATCCACATGGTTTTGGTAGCTTTACTCTGCAAAGCATTCTCATCTTACTTCCTCTGTGTTCCAGAATTCTCCTAATCTGGAGGTGCTGCCTATAGTTTCTGCCTGGTTACTGGACCATCAGCATTTTATTAAACCAATACAAGTGGCAAATCTTTACAGGGTACAAAAGCGTTACCCCATATCACCATACACATAAAATAAAAATCAATATGTTAAAAAAATTTGTAGCCCCTGGTAAACAGACCACACTCCAGTAGAGGGCCATACATTCAAGAATACATGGTTTTTAAAAAAGCTACCTTATTTTTGATGAGCAGCAATGTGTTTTTGTATCATTTCTTCTCTAAATGTGTAATATGGATACATTCAAAACTTAACAAAAACATCTCCCGATTTAAAATGTTTGACACAGATGGTGTTATTTCTACTTACTGTTTAGTTTGTTGAGATTCTTGGATCTATAACTAATGTTATTTCACTAAATCTGATGGGAATTTCAGCCTATAATTTTTCCAAGTAAAATATCTGCCCTAGTCTTATTTTTTCTTGAGTCTCATTTGTAAGTAATCATGATATTGCCCTACAAACTAGTTTTTAGCTTATTGTTTCAGTGTTTTATCTTTTTGCTTCCTGGGTTAGATAATAACTATATTTTATTAGTTCTTTATTGTGGAATAAAAATTAATTCAAATGATACTGCTCTGAAATAGAAGTATTCATTCATCTCTTACAATTTCTGTGTATACAGAATCCTAAATTATCTTGATCAACTAGCTCATTTGAAGTATTTTGACTCAGTTCTCCTGTGAATTCCTAACTTGCTGGGGCTGAAGTCACCTCACTTGATTTGAGTTCAGACTCTACTCAGGTGGTAGCTCACTTACTTAGCTAGAGTCTTTCTGGGAGTTTGCATGTGTCTGCTTGAGTGTCCTTTCTTCAGAATGAGCAAATAAAGGAAGGCAGGCATCATCTGCCAGCCTTTATGACCTGCAGCCCTGTCATGCTCTGCTTTTCATCTGGGCCAGCCACATTTCATTGTGGGAGGGGAACGCAGGCATGAATATGAGGAGGTGAAGTTTACTGAGCTCTGTCTTAGGCACTGGATACTAGACCTGATGTTAAGTCTGCCCACCCCACTTTCTGTAAACTGCAGTCTTCTTGAGCCCTTTTCATGTAGCTTCTAAAATTCAGATGATTTGTTATCTCCAATAATTCTTTTGAGTATTTTCCAGTTCTCTGGTAGGAATCCTCAACTTTATTGTCATTATAACTAATTTCCTTTTAATTATTTCAACGTTTATATTTTCTGTTTTTAAATATTGTCAGTATTGAGCTATGAATCATCTTGGAATTAGTTTGTGTTATTTTACTATCATCCCCAATTCACATTTTCCTATCATTTTATGTGTCTAATGATTTTTAAATTATATGCTGTTATCAATGACTAGCTGAAGAGATTCAAATTGTTATATTTCTCATACAAGCATTTTTTAATTCCTTCACTCAAACACACATGTAATTGGTTTAACTTAAAAAAAATTGCTTTTGTGCATTGGTGTTTTGCCAGTACGTCTATGTGAGGGTGTCAGGTCCCCTGGAACTGGAGTTACAGAAGGTTGTGAACTGCCCTGTGGGTGCTGGGAATTGAACATGGGTCTTCTGCTGGAAGAGCAGCTAATGCTCTTAGCCAATGAGCCAAGTCTCCAGCCCAGCTTGATGTAACTTAACCCTGTAAACCATGCATTTTTTTTTTTTTTAAACCTTAGCTCTTCTACACTTCTGGCTATCGTTATTGAGATTTTGCACACAGTCCCACAGTTTAAGAGATTAGCCTGCTCTTTTTTAGCATAGATTATGTATAGACTGTAAATTTCTCCACTGTGGTCCATTTTTTTTTCCCTGCAATTTTCTTCCCAGTTTCTACTATCTGGCTAGTGCAGAAATGTCTGTTGCCTTATACTTTAAGATATGAAGACTGAAATTCACTCAAAAAAGTTTCTTTTTCTGTCAGTGACACGAGTCACATTTCATCCGAATTTTGTTGTTACTCTGAACATTTTAATAACTTATATGTAGACAAGGAAGTACAATTTTTCTATACAGTAGTGTTATACAGCCTACTTTGCCATTCCCAGAATGAGAAATTGTTCATTCATGCCTTAGAATGGACAGTTTTTATCCATTAAATAGCTCCTTTGATACTTGAGATTGATAAACTGTTTCATGGTGGATGATTCACAGAAATAATGAGTGGCTGTGTAGCTCAGTGGTAGAGCACTGCCTGCCACTTGTACCAAAAGAGAACAGAAGTCAGGCTGTTTTGTTGGCAGTACCCCAGCTATTGGTCAATGCAGTTCTCAGTGACCTTGGATTGTTCAATTTTCCAGAGAAGAATCACCCAGTCTCTGTATGGATGGTGACAGGAAACATACAAGACAATTTGTCAGCCTCTTATGAGAGTGCAGGTATATGTGTTGCACTGCTGATTTCCCAGAATTCCATTTAATTTCTGTTTTAAATATAAATCAGTCATGTCATCTGATCTAAAACAAAATTTATCCTTGTTCAATATTTACAGAATCAGATCTCTTGTTTTAGGCTTTGGGAATGTTTGAAATGGCTAGGCATGTTTGGGCCACAGAATGCCTTTAAATACATCCTTCCAATGTCTTGTTCTCTGTTTCCTGCTCCAAAGAATTTCTTGATCGACTGTGGTAAGATTAGATTTTTTTCTTATGAGCTTTTCCTACTCCAAGTCTGGATTTCAGGTCTTCCAAATCTGTCTCTATTACTGTTTGTACATATGTTCAAAGTTTAGTTAATAGTAGTTAATTTGATTTATTTATATTTCTGTTTCTTTTCATTTTAGTCAAGACAGCAAAAATGATCAATTTCATGTACTTAATCTTTGTTTTATCTGCATTAAAATAACACTATTTTATATTCATCTGTTTAAAATGAGAAAGGAAACTTCAGGGATTAAACAAAATACATCACCTGCCCATTGCCTCCCACAAAGCAAACATTCCAAGACTTCCAGTAGATGTCTGAAACAGGTAGCTCTGAACTCTGCATAAATTCTGCTTTTCCCAATATAACACATTGTTCATCTATGGGGAGAGTAGCATATAGTGGGAGGATACATTGGTCAAAAAGATGGTTCATATATTGGTTAGTTCAGAGTAGGATAGCACAAAGGTCATCATTCTGTCTTGTACAGCAGGGAATTCAAAACATATGAATTGTTCATTTTTGAAACTTTCCTTCTAATATTTTCACACTTCAGTTTACTGCAGGTAATTGAAAACATAGGGAGTAAAGATGCAAATAAAGGGATAATGATGTTCTCTTGTTAAACTTGCATTTGTTGCATTTTTCCCCAAAAGTCATTTGTGAAAAGAAGTCAAATGACTAAACTTGTGACAAATGTCAATACCATTTCTACAATCACTTCTGTACCACACATAGGTTCTTTCTCCAACCATTGTTTTCAGAAATGCAGGGGAACAATGGGGTTACCATATCTTCAATATAGTGTACCATGTTGTAAAATGATTTACAGCAGACAAGCATTTGCAGCCAGTGCTGTCTCAGAGGGCCCTGCCTCAAAGAGCTGTGATGACAAATAGCCTAGCAACTATGCTATACCTATCTTTCCAACCATCCATGGCCAGCTAATGCAAACTTTGTGTGAACCAGAATTTAGACATTAGTATCTTGTTTTGTTTATGAGCTTGGTATTGTAACATGAAGAAGCAGTGCAGTTTTTGGTCTCTCATCAAATAACCCAGTATATATTAGACCTCGAATGAAACTTTTCGATATTTGCCACTTGTAGAGCATTGTATTTTGAGCATTTGCTCACCATCATCACGCCCAGTGAATAGTTCTATATTGAGTTTTCATTTCCCATCAACTAGAGCAAACACTCCTTTCACAACTGACTATTTTGTTTTGGTGGTGGAGATTTCCCCAGTGTATAAGTACTATCTTAATAAGTTAGAGGAAAATATTGGGACATATTTGTGACTGATACTGTCAGGAATGGAGACTTGCAGGGAAGAGTTTAGTGCATATTGGAGAAAAGATAGACAAAAGCCCCTAATACCTCCGTAGTAGTAAATGATATAGGAGCCGTTTAACTGGCAATCAAATGTGGTAGAAATTATTGTACACACACTATAATGCAACAACTGTTCTTTATCTTTGTTGAAATATGAGAAGAAATAATGCCCAAAGGTCTCTATTCAACCAGTACTCAAAATCACCATGTCAGATGACAGATGGACATTAGAATGCTTATGATGAGGTACAGCTCATGGGAAGAAAAAAAGCTCTTAACTGTAGTAACCTTCTCTGTCAAGAGTGGTGACAGTTCCTGCCTTAAGGCAGGTTTGCCTAGTTGGCTTCTCCAGAGCCTTCCTTTGAGCCCTTTCAGCTGCTGGCCTTCAGATACTGAAATTGAACTAGACACAGCCAAGTGTGTGCCCTTTTAGGAACTCCAGCAGAGCCAGAGGCACACAGTGCCACAAGCAGCGATGACAAATTGAAGACTTCACTCAAAGGTGAGTCAGGTCAGCATGGACCTAGGCCCTTCCCTCTCCAGCCGAGTTCCAGCACAGAAGGCCTGCCAGGACCTGGCAACCACAGAACACTCTCCTCTAACATCCATATAAGCTTTGACATAGGGACCAGCAAGGGGTGGCTGGTTAGCTAGTGCAAGGTGGAAGGAACTCTCCTGCATCGAGCCGCGCTCCAGGAAACATGAGTTTCACCAACAATGCCCAGGTTCCTTTCTCACCAAGCACTTGGTGGCCTTCGCTCACAGAGCTTGCCTCCCACAGAGCGGTCTCCTTCTAGGCTGCCGGCTCCTGCTGGAGGGCTTGTGGGAAGATGCCCGCCCGCTCTGGGCCCTAGTGTCTTCCCCAAGCTCCTGGATTTGCTAACGCGATAGGTGGCCGGCAGCAGCCACAGCCTGGGAGAGAAGCACAGGGAGGGGGCTGGCAGGGCAGCAGGAGAGAGGCGCGGAGGTGGGGCGGCAGGAGCGAGGGGGAGGGCGCCTGAGCTCTGCGGAGCCCTTCCTGGTCTCTGTCGGCTGGCGGTGGCTCCGGGTTCCCCTGTGCTGGTGCTCGCGGTCTCAGGCTCTCCTCCCGCCCTCGCTCCCGCTCCCGAGCGCGGAGGCGAGCCGCAGCCCGGCGCGGCGGTGGGCGTGTGCGCGCTGAAGGACGCCTCTTCTCGCTCCCGTGTTGCAGGCGGCGGCTGGCAGCTCCGGCTCGGGTAGCGGCGGCGACGGCTTCCGGAGTCCCGCGGCGAAGATGCTGAAAGTCACGGTGCCCTCCTGTTCTTCCTCGACCTGCTCCTCGGTCACTGCCAGTGCCCCGGGGCCTGGGAACCTCGTCCCTGATTACTGGATCGACGGCTCCAACCGGGATGCTCTGAGCAATTTCTTCGATGTGGAGTCAGAGCTGGGACGGTAAGACGAGGGGCGCTGGACCAGGCGGAGCGTGGAGGCGCGAGCTGGGGCTGGGAACGCCAGCAGCGTGTGCACGCTAGTTGTCCCTCTCGCTGCGACAACTCCCGAGGGTGAAGGTGTGGGACTAGCCTGTCTGCCTTTGATTTCTCCCTTACCTAGACGTGTCTGGGCAAGAGCTAAGCTCTAGTCCGAGCAACCAGGCTCTCCCCGGAGCGCCTAGGCCGGTGCAGCTCGAGCATCCGCCAGACTCTCCCGCCCTCCCAGTGTGGAACTGGCTGCCACTTGGGTGATCTCTCTTATCGCACGTGGATTTGGCTTTCCTAATCAGTATTTCTGCTCAGATTATAGTTTGTCAGAGGGACTTGTGTCTAGTTAAGTTTTGGGTTGGGGACTGCAGTGTGCCCCTCTACACCGTGATGGAATTATTAATTTTCATTCTTCCTGCTTCCCCTTATCAAGCTCTTCAAAGCAAGTGGCACTAGAAATTTAACCTAAATACTAGCTTCCCCGCAGCGTGTGCTCAGGAGAAGACTAGAATGAATCATTTAGGAGAGTTAAAGGCAGAGTAATGAAGTAGTGAGTCTTTAAAGAGAAAGCAGCTCAGGGGGGCCAGGCAGGGGTAATTAGTGAGAAGAGGTCTGAGGCTCTTCTTTCTTGTGTTCAAGTGGTTTATTTAAATCTTGTGTGCAAAAGAGCCATCCCGTTGGGAAAGCAGATGCGCCCCCTCATCCCCTCTCTGAAGATCTAATCAGGTAGTAGTTTTACCTTGAGATTGATTCCGTGTGTTCTCAGATCTTTATCCACTGATAATTATGTTTCTGTCCTCCCCTTCTGTTGTCCATATGCACATAAGGGGGGCTGGATTTCAGTACTGTTTTAATGTAAAGCTTCTACCAGAGGGAATCTGAACATGATTTCAACTGTTGGCAAGTTGTAACTTCCCTCTGCAATTTAATTTCAGCCTCTTTTTATTGGTAGTAGTTTAGCAAAATTTTCATTTTAATTTTTGGTGCTGTTAAAAAGAGGATGACACTGGATTCTGGGTATTCATACTTAGTGGAGAGGATTTACTGGCTCTGCGTTGCTTTTACTGAGTACAAGTGGTGTGTAAAAAGGTAAAACTTTTTAAAGGAATGTATTTGTTTTTCTTACTGTTTAACAATTCTCAAGCTTCTTGAGCATTGAGTAACATATATGCCCACATCCATCTTTAGTCATGTTTCTGAGTGTCCATTTGAAGGCTGGTGTAGCTGAAGTGAGACAGCAAGCAGTATTTTTGTAAGGTTCGAGAAATTATACTTGTGTGATGTGCTGCAGGTTGTGGTATACAAACTTCTGATTAAAGAGATAATCTTCTTAAAATTGGTTAGTCAGTGCTTTAGAAGTTGCCAGGTAGGGAGGAAGTGCTGGCTGCTGCTGAGGGGATGGCCCCACAGTACATCTGAGCAACACCCCAGAGGCCCCTAACAGATTCTGGCTTCCTAATTATACAAATGAGTTTTGCCATCACATCAAACACTTTGATTTGAGAAGTGGGAGGATCTACAGGGAAAAAAAGCTTCTAAGTGTACACATACATAGGATGGTGAATCTCACAAGAAAGCAGTCTTTGAAGTTTGCTGGTTTTAATTTGGCCCTACAGTTTGCATTTATTTGGGATTATACATATAAATCTACAGTAATTGCTAAGACTTGTCCTTTGGCTTTTGATTACCCTGAAATCACCAAATTGAAATACTTTAAGAAGAAAAACACAAGCCCTAAAAGTGCCACTTCTGTCCCTTCTCCAGCAGCAGTGTGTCTTGCTGGGTCCATTCTTTGTAGATATCAGTGTTGATGAGTGGGCTCTCACCATTTGGTTAAGATGGATAGATATTTTCACTTCATAATCTAAGTTATTTTTTTCCAGTGAAATAGACCTAAAGCATGAACCAACTGGTATGCCAGCTGTAATTGTTAAAAATCTGTAGAGCCAGACAGCCTCAGAACTTTTGTAGGAAACTAAAGGATTGAACCACAAACGTCTGTTTGCTTTGTGCACCAGTGATCAATTTGAGCTCACTTGAATTGGTTTCACAATTTTTCTTTCTGTTTTGGGCCAAATCTGGGGACCAATGGTGACTCTAAAGCTAAAACACTCGGTTCTTTCATGCACGGTTGTCAGTTTGATGTCCAGCTAGTGTCAGTTGGCACTGCGAGGGCACTGTGGTTAGTGCCACAGTAGGCATTCCCCTTTAGATGAATTGCAGACTTCTTGTTCCATCCCCTAAAATTATAAATAGGCGACTTCTGATTTCAAGAAAGTTAGATGCAAGGCCACATGGACAACATAACCTGAGAGTGTGTGTCTGGAAAGTCAAGTAGAGTTAATTCCTGAAGCTGTAAAAGCCTGAGGCCCCTGGGCAGTGGTTTTCAACCTTCCTAATGCTGTGACCCACTGATACAGTTCGTCATGTTGTGGTGACCCCAACCATAAGATTATTTTTGTTGCTACCTCATAATGGTAATTTTGCTATTGCTATGAATCATAATGCAAATATATGATATGTGGTCCCCCAAAGGGGTCACAATCCACAGGTTAAGAACCACTGCCCTGCATGGTGCTTATAGAAGGCAGGCATCAGCAGAATGACCCATCTGTAGCCATCCACCACAAGGCAGAGGCAACTTTCTTTTGGTGGTGCATGTAGGCCTATGAAGGAGTTATTTGAAAGTGTCAGGCAAGCCATTTTATTTTTCTAAAATTGAAATTGAAAATATTAAGTTTACAAAAGTTACAATATACCAACAAAGCTACTTAAAAATATGAGCTAGCCATTATCCTATGCAGGGATCCATACCTAGAGAGCAGCTGGTCCTCTGCCCAGTGATTTGAGAGAGCTGAATCCTGAAGGCTTTTCTGATGGAGTGGGGAGCTTACTTCTGGCTTACACCCCCTCCAGTGGTTGGGCCAGTGGGAAGGAAAGACTTGGCTCGCCCTGTTCTGTGGTGAGGGTTTGGCCTTGTGCATCCAAACCCACATCCTGGTTTCAATTGGGACATGTACCATATTGAAAGGATGCTTATAACGAAATTGGCTATGTTCCCAAACATCCAAATCCAGAAAACCAAGTGTTAGACCACTTGGCTAAAAGAAAATGTGTTCAATTATTCTGGATTTTTACTATAGTTGCTTTAGTTTGGTGACCTTTAGGACTCCACCAGACTAAATTCATTATTTACAAAAATGTGTTTATGTGACAACTCAGTTATCTGTCATCTGTCTGTCTGCCTGTCTTATCTATTGGTGTTTAGGATCCAAATTGACTTTTAAATAGTGAGATATGTGGTCATTTGTAGAGAATAGAAGCAATTTTGCCAAATAATGCTTACTCTTACTGTCAATAATATATTATAGTATTTTATGTTTTATGATGTTTCATTGCATTCTATTTCATTCAAAAGATTTGCTGAACTCATGTGATCTGACATCCCACTAACAAGTTGTGGCTCAGTTAGAAAATGTTACTTTGGGACATAAATATGAATATACCAGGTTAAACTATGAGGCAGAGTCCTTTAATTCAGTGTCTTGCAGGCCATGTGGCAACATTGCCCTGAGCAGTGTCCATTTGGCACAGCTTTGTGAAGAAAACTTCTTTTTTCTTTGCCTCCAAATACTTATTAGACTTTCCCTTCCAAATTTTTGAGAAAACAATGACATCTCCAAAGATCCACAGCACACCCAGGAATCTGGACTAGCTGAAAAAGGGGGCCTGTGCTGGGGGGGGCACTTATGTGTGGAGGGAAGAGACGTGGAGAATGAAAGAGCTGTGTTCTAACAGTGACATTACCCCTGGCCCAGCAAGTGCTTATTGTAAGGAACCACAAATGTATCTTTTCTAGAAGAGTTCTAGCCTGTGCTCTTGGCTTGTCTTAACTCTGTTTGCTACAACAACAAAATCCCTGGGTGCTTTAACCATAAACATTTGTTTTTCACAGTCTGAAGGATAGGGGTTCAAAACCAAGATGCTGGCTATTTATTGACTCCAATGAGAGCTTTCTTCCTGTCTTGAGTGGTGACCGTCTTATGCTGTATTCTCAGAAGACAGAAAGAAATAGGAATAATACATATATATTAGAACAATTACTTTAAGCTCGTTGGTGTTTCTTCTCATAAGATTATTCAACCTGTCTTGAGAGCTCCATCTTTAGGAATTGATCCTAAACATAATTCCATCCCAAAGATCATATTCCAGCTGCCACACCAGAGGATCATTTTCAACATATGAACTTCTAATTGGTACTTGGTACTGTGTTATGCAAGAATATTTTCATATATATAACATATTGGGCATGTCCCCTATATCCTTTTATCTCCTCTTTCTTAATCCATACTCCCATTAATTTTTTGTTCCCCTGGAAAATTTCATTGTTACTTTCATAATACATACATACATACATATATATGTATATATACATGGTTTTATCAGCATATGGATTTTAAGGGGACAATTCAGTCTACACTATGGTTGGTGAGGAATTAGATACTGTCTTTTTTCTTTTTTCCTTCTTCTTTCTTTCTCTTGGCCAACCATCTTCTTGGGTCTTTTGTTGGCTAATACTTCTCAAGTTCCAGACTTTTTCCTTATACCATCCTTTTGGGCTCCACAGCCTATCTGCTACATACTGCTGACAACAGATCTGTTTTATACTCTACTCTGATGGTTTAGCGTCTTTGGTGATCACATGTTCCTTTTCATTTGTGTTTTTGGTGTGATTATGACTCAGGAGCAAGGTGCGATAGAAATGGGAGAATAGAAGCTCATGCTGTATATGCTCTTTGCAAGAATACTGACTTGGCTTCCAGAAGACAGCATCTGTGGGTTTGCCCTTTGCACTATTACATAGTCATTGTCTAGCATGCTGTATAGCACTTAGCAGGTGCTTATCAAATGATTTTAAAAGAACAATTCAAGGGACTGAGGAGATACTCAGTGGGTAAAGGTCCTTGCTGTGAA